CGCGGGTCCTCTTGCGTCACGGAGGCTCAAGATTGAGTGTTTATTACTAAACAGGCGTCCTCGATCCGAAGATCAGAAAAGGACTGGGCCTCTCCGCCGTCTCATTGCTTACTCAAAAGCTCTTCGGTCCTCGGCTGGGTGAGTTAGGTGCTTTACGAGAAAGCCTAGTACCCCGCCTCGGACGGACCGAATGAGGCGGCGCGACGAGAGCTTGACTTGGCGCCACGATCGAACAGGTCAATCGAAGCGCAGACTCCACCGCCACAAGAGTAGTAACACTCCGTGGGGTGATGTGGGGGACAAGCACTCCGTCACGCATGCTCCCAGGCATATCCCGGGAGCGCAAGATGCGTTCAAAGGTTTGATGATTCACTGGATTCTGCAATTCGCATTACGTATCGCATTTCGCTGCGTTCTTCATCGTTGTGGGAGCCAAGACATCCGCCGGTAAGAGTTGTATGGCATTTCGCTTGATCAAAATTAGTTCTTACACTAATCTTTCGGCGTCAGCATGCGCTGGTTCACCCGTTTGGTTAGAATCGGAGTGTGAGTGACTGTGGACGATGACCCAATCAAGAGTACACCGAAGTCAGAGGTACCAAGTACCGGTTCGCTGGGGTGTGTTTGGGTGTGGATATTAGGTAATGATCCCTCCGCAGGTTCACCTACGGAGACCTTGTTACGACTTCACCTTCCTCTAAATAGTGAGGTTTAACCAACTTCCCGAGGTACGTTCGCCGTGAAGCTTGCGAACCCCAGTCCGGAGGTTTCACCGAACCATTCAATCGGTAGGTGCGACGGGCGGTGTGTACAAAGGGCAGGGACGTAATCAATGCGAGCTGATGACTCGCGTTTACTAGGAATTCCTCGTTCATGATTGAAAATTGCAACAATCAATCCCAATCACGGCACACGTTCACAGATTACCCAGGCCTGCCGACCAAGGTGATAGACTCGTTGCGTGTGCCAGTGTAGCGCGCGTGCGGCCCAGGACATCTAAGGGCATCACAGAC